TTTCAAATGGCACAGAAAGATTCAGAGAGGGGAAGACTTGAATCATCAGCAGTGTTCAAACACAGAACGGGAGTGCAAGTCACAGAAAAGATGGCTAATAACCCGATAATGGTCTTTATTTCATCTAAATGGCAAACATTTAAAGTCTTCAGAATACACGTATCACAGTCATCCTCTAACAAAGGAAGACTGGAAGGAGACAGCTATTTCTTTTTTTTTAAAGAAAAGGACAGATTCTGGAAATCTCAAATTTTGATTTTGACCTCTAACTATACTAAAAAGATCATATTATACCTAGTTTTTATTTATTTTTTTTAATGTGCTTACTCCTACAATGTTACTATTGCTGTTGTTAGGTCCTCGAGTCGGTTCTGGCTCACAACAACCCTGTGTACAAAAGACTGCAGCTCTGCCCGGCCCTGCACCATCCTCACAATCGTTATGTTTGAGCCCATTGTTGCAGCCACTGTGTCAATCGGTCTCATTAAGGGTCTTCTTCTTTTTCGCTGACCCTCTACTTTACAAGCACGATGTCCTTTTCTAGGGACTGATCCCTCCTGATAACATGTCCAAAGTACCTGAGACAAGTCTTGCCGTCCTCGCTTCTAAGGGGCATTCTGGTTGTACTTCTTCCAAGATGGATTTGTTTGTTCTTCTGACAGTCCATGGTATATTCAATATTCTTCATCAACACCATACTTCAAAGGCATCAATTCTTCTTTGGTCTTCCTTATTCATCATCCAGCTTTCACATGCATATGAGGCAACTGAAAACACCACTGCTTGGATCAGGCGTACCTTAGTCCTTAAAGTGACACCTTTGCTTTTAACACTTTAAAGAGATCTTTTGCAGCAGATTTGCCCAATGCGATATGTCATTTGATTTCCTGACTGCTGCCTCCATAGGCACTGACTGTGGATCCAAGTAAAATGAAATTCTTGACAACTTCAATATTTTCTCCATTTATCTTGATGCTGCATATTGGTCCAGTGAGGATTTCTGTTTCCTTTAAATTGAAGTGTAATCTATACTGAAGGGTGTAGTCTTTGATCTTCATTAAGAAGTGCTTCAAATCCTCTTCACTTTCAGCAAGCAAGGTTGTGTCATCTGCATATTGCAGGTTGTTACTGTCTTCCTCCAGTCCTGACATCTCGTTCTTCTTCCAGCTTCTTGGATTATTTTCTCAGCATACAGATTGAATAAGTATGATGAAAGTATACAACCGTGACACACACCTTTTCTGATCTGACACCACTCAGTATCCCCTTGTTCTGTTCAAACAACTGTCTCCTGGTTTAAGTACAGGTTCCTCATGACCACAATTAAGTGTTCTGGAATTCCCATTCTTCGCAATGTTATCCATCATTTGTCATGATTCACTCAGTCCAATGCCTTTGCAGAGTCAATAAAACACAGGTCAGCATCTTTCTGGTATCTTCTGCTTTCAGTCAAGATCCATCTGACATCAGTAAGGATGTGTATGCCTCGTTCCACGTACTCTTCTGAATTCAGCTTGAATTTCTGGCAGTCCCCTGTCGATGTACTGCTGCAACTGTTTTTGAACTATCTTCAGCAAAATTTTACTTACTTGTTATAGTAAAGGTATTATTCAATCATTTCTGCATTCTATTGGATCACCTTTCTTTGGAACGGACATAAGTATGGATCTTTTCCAGTTGTTTGGCAAGGAAGCTGGCTTCCAAATTTCTTGGCATAGACGAGTAAGTGCTTCCAGTGTTGCAACCATTTCTTGAAGAATCTCAATTAGCATTCCGTCAATTCCTGAAGCCTGTTTTTTGCCAATGCCTTCAGTGCAGCTTGGACTCCTTCTTTCAGTACCATCAGTTCTTACCATATGCTACCCTCCTGAAATGGTTGAATGTTGACCAACTCATTTTGGTACAGTGACTGTATTCCTTCCATCTTCTTTTGATGCTTCCTACATCATTCAATATTTTGCCCAGAATCCTTCAATATTGCAACTTGAGGCTTGAATTTTTTCTCCAGTTCTTTCAGCTTGAGAAATGCTGAGCATGTTCTTCTCCCTTGGTTTTCTAAATCCAGGTCTTCGCACATTTCATTGTAATACTTTACTCTGTCTTCTTTAGCTGCCCTTTGAAATCTTCTGTTCAGTTCTTTTACATGATCATTTCTTCCTCTTGTTTTAGCTACTTTATGTTCAAGAGCAAGCTGCAGAGTCTCTTCAGACATTCATTTTGGTCTTTTCTTTCCTGCTTTTTCAATGACCTCTTGCTTTCTTCATGTATGATGCCCTTGATGTCATTCCACAACTCGTCTGCTCTTCAGTCATTAGTGTTCAATGCCTCAAACCTCTTCTTGAGATGGTCTCTAAATTCAGGTGGGATATACTCAAGGTCATACTTTGGCTCTCGTGGACTTGTCTTAATTTTCTTCATCTTCAACCTGAACTTCCATTTGAGCAACTGATGGTCTGTTCTGCAGTTGGCCCCTGGCCTTGTTCTGACTAATGATATTGAACTTCTCCATTGTCTCTATCTACAGATGTAGTCGATCTGATTCCTGTGTATTCCAACTGGCGAGGTCCATGTGTATAGTCGCCGTTTACGTTGTTGAGAAAAGGTATTTGCAATAAACAAGCCATTGGTCTTGCAAAATTCTATCATGCAATCTCCGGTGTTGTTTGTATCACCAAGGCCATAATTTCACACTGCTGACCCTTCCTCTTTGTTTCCAACTTTCCCATACCATTATGTTACCATAAACTCACTAAAAATAAATCTACCTTAAGAAATTTTATTTCCCTTTTATCTTTTTTAGTCTAAGAGAGTAGCAGACCAAACCACAGATAAATGTATCTTATTTCCTTTCTCTGTTTGTAACATAAGGAATCCCTATTCCCTAAACAGTTCTCATTGAACCTTTAAAGTCAATAAATGGCCACACTCTGTTATGGCTCATTTTTCTCAAATTACCTTTCTGAGACTTAGAACGTAAGCAACTCTTAATTACTGAGTCTAATAAAAAGGAACTAGATCACCAGGAGTTCAAACCAATGGATAAATGAGTAGTTCCATCAATTCATGCAAATGTTCCCCTATTCAGTGCCCAGCTACATCTTTCCTGATTAAGAGGTGGAAAGAGGTGACCCTGAGTTTGAACTTTTACTGAGAGGCTGAAATTAAAGGGCTAATTAAAACATATGAAGTACAAAAATCTCATAGTGGCGCACATCCCTAATTCACTAGCAACTACGTAGCTCATAAAACAAAATAACTTTAAAACTTCGGTTCTCTCCTTGAGCCATCTGTTCACCCTCACACCCTGAAATCCTCACTGGCTAGACTGGATAGGGGCTGAATTAACAGACACTGTTGTCTCACTACCATGGGGCCTGAGAGCTATTCCCAAGGCCTGTGGTACAAATGAGCTCTGACTCGGTGCTTAGCATTCCAATTCATAAACCACCAAAGTAACACACATCATGTTCTTAAGGAAAACACAGCCCATTATCAGAAGAGACTGTGGAGAACATCACGTAAAGAAACAAGTAGGAACTCCCAGAGTCTCAAAACACAAGTATTCTAATACAATAATAGTCAACATGGAGCCCTGGTGGCACAGTGGTTAAGAGTTTGACTGCTAACCAAAAGGTCAGCAGTTTGAATCCACCAGCTGCTCCTTGGAAACCCTATGGGGCAGTTCTACTCTGTCCTATACAGTTGCTATGAGTTGGAATCGACTCGATGGCAACGGATTTGGTTTGGCTTGTTTTAACAGGCAACGTGCAACTTGAGCAAACCTCTGAATCCACTCAGGGTTTCTGTTATGTTCAAAGAACACTGCGAGAAGTCTTAACAAAAACATTACAAACAAATTTACAAACTATAGAGTTACATAAATGGTCATATTGTCCCTATGACAGGGGAGTATGTCCTGTGTTTTCTTCCAAAAGTCCTGGCTTATTTCTTCCAGTCCCCTTAGTTAGACAGACACTGATTTTCTAAACAAGGGATAGGGTATTATAAAGAGTTTCCAGAATCTAGACTACAAATACACAAAACAACACCCCACCCCACAAACACCACCACACCCACATGCCACCACCACCACCACCACCACATGTACTCTTAAATAACTTGGGGAACAGCATGTGTTGTTAGTTAAAGTCCATTGTATAGTATCAATACGGGGCTTTATTGTTGTTGAGTTCTTACTCACGAGGTGAAAGATAAAGGTGAAACAATTAGGTGTAGGAATGAAATGGAAACAGAAATGATCATGAAAGAGAAATTTGGAGCTTGAAATAAACAGCAAAAGGGAGTCAGGAAAATGAAGTCAAAAGGCTTTTTTGACCCCTAGGTGACAAGGGAAATGTTTCTTTGAATTAAAAATGAAAAAGCTGCGGGTAACCACATTACCCACATTAGGAGTATGAACGATTTAAACGAGCAGACAGTACAGAACGTACTTCTCCACCACAGGACACAACTCATTCCACATAACAACTAGACTACAGCATAGCGTTTGCAGTGTACCCAAGAGATACGTTAAATATATCTAAAGTTAAAGCACTTACAGAAAAATGTTTTTCCTCTGAAAAAGTCTGAAGTTTCAGAAAAATATGTGCATGTAAACTTGGACCCAGAGGCCAAGAGTGGAAAAGAAATCAGGTCAAGCCTGAGCAAGCCACTGAAAAGGACAATGGGGAACAGACTCCACAAAACTGGTAGACCGTCTTTGGGACACTGTTTCTCTTCATCTAACACAGTATGTTGATGAGTAACTGTGGGGCAGGTCCTTAAAGTTTTTGCAAGCAAAGAAAATATTTCTAAGGCCTCAAGGAATGTGAAGTCCTGCCAGTCTAAAAGCATAAGCTTTCCTTCAGAAGTTATTTGAATAGCTAAGCCAGGGGATAGGTATGACCTCAGGAGGTTACAGAGATTATTCCTTTGAAGGTTTGCTACCAATGTAAATAAAGCAAGAGGAAAAACGAACTTGGACGTTTTACTTTTCCTACCTCTTCTAGCCGCCGCCTCTGTTCCTTCTGCTGCTCAATCCGTTTCTGTCTCTCTGCTAACAGCTGCCTTTTATATTCTTCCTGCTCACGGAGCTGTTGCTCCTGCAGGAGCTGTTGTCTCCGGAGAGCCTCAGAACGTTCCTTGTTCTCCTGCTGCAGTCTCAGGAAATCCCGTCGAAGAGTAGACTCACCAGGCACGTTAACGATGGAACTGCAGGAGGGAGTAAGAGCTGTGAGGGATGTATCCCAATGGCACGAACAAAAACAAAAAAACAAACCCCATGCTGTCGAGTAGATTCCGACTGATAGCAACCATATAGGACAGAGTACAACTGCCCCATAAGGTTTCCAAGGAGCTCCTGGTGGATTCGAACTGCCAACCTTTTGGTTAGCAGTTGAACTCTTAACCACTTTGCCACCAGGGCTCCACATCCAAATGGCACTGCCCTCTAAATGAGACCGCCCCATGGGCATTCTATTCTTCTACATTCATTCTCCTAACAAGGTACTCCCACTCTTGCATCTACAACTCAACAGTCCCGCATTTCCTTTTATTTATTCAGTAAATATTTTAAAACTCTATCCTGGATTTTGTTTGTCAACTATTTTCAGGACATCTCTACTTGGGATTCTCACGTGAATTCAAAATAGATAAAACGAAATTGCCTTTTTCTTCCACTTCACTAGTTCTTCCTTCGACTACCTTATTTTCCACCAGTGAGAGGAACATCATTTTCCTCCCCTGCTAGGCTATAAATATCAGCGTACTCTTCAGTTTTTGCCTTTGCTTCATCTTCTTTGTCAGACTGACCATCAAGTCTTGTCATGTATTCCCCTCCCATTTCCTTTATTTCCAGGGTGGCCAGCTGAGCCTGAGTGGGTCCCATGAGCTTGCCATTGCACAGATAAATTAAACAGCATCATTCCTAGCTGGTCCCCATGTTGTGAGTCATTTCTCTACTTCCAAACCATGCAGAATAACATGTCAAACAAATCTCCTTAAAAGGCCTCTTATTATATCATGCTCTTATTCAAAGAGTTTCATTGCGTATGAAATCGGTTCAAATTCCTCTGAACTTTTTAGTCTAAAATGGATTCAATTCTTCTCCTACATAAGGAGAACAAGATAACATGGAGTTTCTTCAGTAAATTTTCTTTCATCTCTTGACACACGCTCTTCAAACTTGCAATCTGTGGAGTAGAGGTCCCCACAGATTTCTCGACATACTCCTCCTCCTTTTGTTCAATTAATCAGTCATGTGTAGATGCAACCTGAGTGACTGCCAGGCAAACCTTATGAAAATCCAAAAATCCTGTTCCCTGATTATCACCTAGTACGGGTCCATCTCGGAGCCCTGGTGGCGCAGTCGTTAACAGCTCAGCTACTAACCAAAATGTTGGCAGTTTGAATCCACAAGCTGCTGCTTGGAAACCCCATGGGGCAGTTCTACTCTTTTCTTTAGGGTTGCTATGAGTCGGAATCGACTTGATAGCGACAAATTTTTTGGTTATGGGTCCGTCTACCAATTTCAACTCTTTCGTCTCTGCTTCACTGTACCTCAGAAAGCCAGAGATAAACCAAAACACAGATTGTAAGTGGGATCAGGAAAGAATACACCTTAACAGGGGAAAGAAATGCTGGTAACCACACCTGACAGAAGAGTGCTCCCCTCCCCCCCAAAAAACAATAAAATTTGTTTTGAGAAAGGCTGGGTTAGGTGCAGCATTTTTCAAGAAAAGCCCTACATCACATAAACAGCACAATTCTTGTGTAGGATTGTCCTAGACACAAGAAGCCCTGATAGTGCAGTGGTTAAAGTGCTCGGCTGCCAACCAAAAGGTTAGTGGTTCAAACCCACCAGCCACTCTGCAGGAGAAAGATGTGGCAGTCTGATTCCGTAAAGATTTACAGCCTTGGAAACTCTGGGACAGTTCTACTCTGTCCCATAGAGTTGATATGAGTAGGAACCGACTCAACAGCAGTAGTTTCTTTTTGCTTCTGTCCTATACACCACAAGGCATTTCCCATCTGTGGCTCCTAGAGCATTAAATGCCAGTGGCAACCCCACGTTTCCAAATGACTGGGTGAGCAGAGCACATGCAATCCCTGGTAAAGAACCACTGGGCAAGAGGATCTAAATGGGAAACATGTCTGTAGGAACCTTTCAAATAATAGAATGAAAGACACTAAGGCACTTTTAAATTAAAGTAAGATTCCTTCACAGTACATAGGAGTCTTCTGAAACCCTGGCATCAGCATGAAACAATCTCTTCATAAATCAGGAAGCTGAACATTGGCCTTATCATTACCTTGGCTCTCCTTCCTGTTCAGGCACTTCCTCCTCTTCTTCCTCACTTCCACTGTACTCATACTCTGTTTCATCTATAAAGAAAAGGACAAAAAAATGGGATGGTTCACAAATCATGACACATACGTGTACAGGCCAAGTATCTCCAGTATTATGACAGAAAAGAAATAATATGCTTTTTGTGAAAACAGCAATGTGCACTGGAGAACTTTTGGGGGGCGGGGAGGATGCCACACCTAATTCCCACAGTGCACTGTGGCGATTCTCTGGGTTGGCCTTACTACACCCCAGAGAAGGGCAGATTCCATTGCACTCAAGACACCCTTTAAGGGGATGAATTCTGAAGAAGTGCAGAACCATGAGAAAGGTCTCCAGAGCACTTGACATCTAAGATAAAGTGGCCCAAGAGTGCCAGCAAATTCAGAAAGTCCACTTTCATGCCAAAATTCAAAAGAGACATAACTAGTGAAACTAATTTAATGCAACTAATAGAATTGATTTCGTTACTTTATCAATTAGGGACCCACTGAGAGGGCAACAGGGAGAAAAGTCTGCTGGTCTGACAAAAAGTAAAACATCAAGTAGGTACTTACAGTAGAAAAAAAAAATCAAATGTTCCCACAAATTATAAAAAGGCCCAGAAAAAAAATGAGGAACAATACAGCAAGAGAACAAAACAAAATTTGCTCTTCTCAAACCAGACCGCACGAAAAAGTTTCAACACGAATAACTTATTTTCACTTCAACAGGGTTTATGCCTTTTTCCCAAAAGTAAGAGGCCATCTTATTAGTCCCTTCACTCAAGTCAGTATCCAACTTTAAGTGAACAATTTTACTCCAGAGAGTCATCAAAACCAGACAAGGTGAAGAGATTTAAAAACCAAATACTACTCACAAACTAGAAATACATTTCTATTTTTTCCAGAGACTTATTAGATGAAAATCAGTTTTCTGGTAAGATGGGTATTAGGGATTGAATTGTTTCCCCCCAAAATGTGTGTTAGCTTGGTTAGGCCATGATTCCCAGTACTGTGTGGACCGTGAGAGAATAAATTTCTCCTTGTTAAAGCCATCCATTTGTGGTATTTCTGTTATAGCAACACTAGATAACTAAGACAGTAGGATTTACAACACATAGGAGAATCACATCAGATCACGTAACAGTGGACAGAGATAAAAAAGCGAAAATCGAGCAGAGAGGAAGGGGACCTCATGCCACCAAGAATGAAGAATCAGGAGTCGATCACATCCTTTGGACCCGCGGTCCCTGCGCTGAGAAGCTTGTAGACCAAGGGAAGATTGATGACAAGGACCTTCCCCCAGAGCTGACAGAGAGAGAAAGCCTTCCCCTGGAGCTGAATTCAGACTTCTAGCCTCCTAGATTGTGAGAGAATAAATTTCTCTTCGTTAAAGCCAACCCCTATGGTATTTCTGTTATAGCAGCACTAGATAACTAAGACAATGGGACTGAGAACTCAAAATATGATTCAGGACAAACTCATTACATAAATGGCATTAGTTCTCCTCTATGCTAGATGCAGAATGGATGATAGGAAAAAAATCAAAGCTAATATATAATTTTAATGGACATACACAGATACTCTAACGTTTAAGGGAAATTCTAACCCATATAATTTTTCGAATTCTTTAAATATATACTCTGATATGTTTAAAATTTTGCACTATGAACTGTTAATTATTGACGAGAAGGTGAGGATATTTGGAAGATGAATGCAAAGAGAAAATAACACAGGCCCCTTGGCCTTGGAGATAATAGGAAAACGGCTCAATATGAAAACAACTTTCTCCAAAAAGAGAGCTACTGCGTTAATTGACAGTTAAGCAAATGGTCATTTTACTTTCTTTTCAACCTTTAGTTCACTCTGTTAATGACTGTTTAGCTTAATGTGCAATGCTTAATTGTGTTTATGACTCAATATATGAAAACAAAAATGTTATTCTGAAAATCAGTGAAGACTTAACTATGAACACAAAAGTTATTTAAGACTAAATGAACGTGTAAAAAGTTCAGGACACAGCCCAGAAGGTGATCCTTCAATCAACTCTTTCATTGCTCTGAACCTGCTCTTTATAGTTTCTTTTTTGCCTTGAAATTTGAGTGTTAAAAAAAGAAGAAAAAAAAAAAATTCATGGGATGCCAGTTATCCTCCAAACATTGTTCTACAAAATTGCTGTAAGAGTTCACAAGACAGAAAGGTCAACAGGAGCCAGGGTCTTCAGAGAAGGTTTGGTGAAGATGGTGACGGTGCTTGAGCTGCACCTTGCAGGGGAAGAAAGCAAAGTGCGCTGCAGGCAGGTGGACACAGTGTGCATGAAGCTACAAAACAAAAAACCAGGGCGTGACACAGTGGGAACAGAAAGGAACCTGAAGGAACAAGCATAAGAGCATGCTCCTGCTGTGCAGCAAAGAGAGAAAAGCGGGACAGGCGGCCCACATCGACCCACACGACGTGTACAAGCCTACAGGAGTAAGAAACCCCGGTGGGTTCTTGAGCAGAATGTGACGGAGAAACTGACAATGCTGCTCCCCGCTGATGCTCAGTAAACCCTGAGTGAAGTATACCATGAACACAACACTCATAATGAAGAAGGGCAGAAAAAAAGCGTATCAACAGCAACAAAGATGTGCTCCTGAGGAAGAACTAGAAAAACAGCCCACTACGCTGACCCACCAGCGGACCTACGCAGATAGTCCCAGCTTGGCGACACACCAACAGCTCAGTTCAACCCCGCCTGGAGCCAGGCTGGATCTTACATCCCCCACCACTGAGCTGCAGGGCAGAGACAAACTACTAATCGAAACAGATTTAATACCTTTCTCTCCTCTCTTCTTTCTGGTCCGGTCTATATGGTCCTTAAGCTGGATTCTAACTTGCCTTTCATTTGGCTGATCCCTTATAAAAGGATGTTTCAAAAGCTGCTCTGTGGAGGGCCGCTGCATGTAGTTCTTCACCAGGCACCCTTCTATAAAACTAAAAAATTTCTTTGACCTGTAAGAGTAAGTAAAAAAGAACATCAAATTTCTACTGCAAAGAGCTTTAAATTATCAGTTAAGTAACAAGCCTGAGAACAATGAAGAGCCTCAGAATTCACCATGAACGTTCCGCAAGTGAAGAGGAATAATTTGTTGTTGTTGTTAGGTGCCGTCAAGTCACTTCCAACTCATAGTGACCCTACGTACAACAGAACGAACACTCCCCAGTCCTGCGCCATCCTTACAATCGTTGCTATGTTTGAGCCCATTTTTGCAATCCATCTCTGTTGGTGAGGGTATTTGGAGAATGAATGCAAAGAGTAAATAAAGAGGCCACTGGGACTTGGAAATAACAGGAAAAATGATCCAATATGAAATAACTTTTTCCAAAATGAAAGCTACTGTGTCAACTGACAGTTAAGCAAAAAGGTCGTCTTACTTTCTTTTCGATCTTTAGTTCACGTTGGTATGACTGTTTATAGCTTAATGTACAATGCTTAATTGCTTTAATGACTGAAATAGGAACTCAGAGTCTTTGGGGATCAGGAGCATTAATTAAACATAGTTTAAAGGTTATTCTTTCTCACCAACAACATACCACAAATAGAGAACGATGATGGAAATCACATTTAAATAAAACTGGGTTTAAATCCGAGATGTGGTGGCACAGTGGTTAAGCATTCAGCTGCTAACCAAAAGGCTGGCAGTTCAAATCCACCAACTGCTCCTTGGAAACCCTTTGGGGCAGTTCTACTCTGTCCTATAGGGTCATTAGGAGTTGGAATCGACTCGACAGCAGCGGGTTTTGTTTTTTTTTTTTTTTGTGGGGGGGGGTTAAAGCTAATGTTGCTTATTAACCACTTAATCTAGGCGTGGAGGAGGCAAGGGGGATAGAGGGAGGTTTCCCTAAAAATGAAGGCAGACAAGAGGACAGACGAGAGGAACAGACACAAAAAGGAGTCAAGCCAGTGACCAAATGCTGGGACTCTTGAACCTACTAATGACACATCAATTAGAACTTCAGACTAGTTTATTCATTCAAAGAAATGCATCAGTTCTGTATGCTTAACGTACAGAGGGAGAAACTAATGGTTTTGAGGGAGCAATGACTCTGTCACCTACACTTACCCTGCTAGCCAGTTTGGTTTTAGCCTGTTTCTGCATGCCTTGGCCAAGCCACTGGCACCCATCCTATCTTGTGAAACTCAGCTCAGGAATCGTCTCTTCTGGGAAGCCTTTTCCCCACACACCCCATTAGGAGTCTTTTATGTTTCTGTCTCCCTTGTTAGTTTGAAATGGTAGAGCTCAGGGACTGGTTTCTATTCTTCAAGTTGTCAGCGATGTCCAACACTGAGTATGGCACATCACAATAGGTATGTAATAAATTTTTGTTGAATGAATGAATGACTGTTCAGTCTTTAAAAACGTGATTTAGAAAATCAGCTCTTCTCAATTACTTCACTGCTTTTAAGAAACACTTCTATTATCTTGCAGTTTCATCCAAACTTACTATTTTTTTTCGATTCAACAAATATTTATATACCAATTATTTGTATTTTGTTATGTTAGGCTCCATAAGAAATATACATAGGAACTAAAGTGAATGAAATTTAATAGTTATACACAATAACAAGATATATCAAACTTATAGAGGAGGGAAAAAATAACAAGTGTTACAGTGGAATGAATGTAAAAAAAAGTAGGATATCTGATAGTCCAAAGATGGGGCAGAGAAGACAGCATTCCACGGCAAAGAACAACACAAACAAAAGTAGAAAAAGTATTAAGAGTATAACGAATAGTTTTCTGTGGCTAGTATGCGAAGTGGAAAAGACTGAATAAAACAGGTTAGAATCAGCTCAGAGAAGGTCCTCAAAATCACTCAAAGAAGTTATTACTTTATTCCACGGTCAAGGTGGACCATCAAAGATTTTACACGGTGTAGTGGAATGCTCTAACACCGAGATTCCCCCAATCCCGCCGTCCACCAGAAACATTTTGGGGAACTTATTAAAAATACAAATATTTGAGGTCACTCCCTAGACCTAATGAGTCAGAGCCCTGAATTAAGAGACCCCAAAGGGATCAACACACACCATGCCCACAGGTGCTATAGTATATTCTTTAAAATCAACTTTCAGGTTCTGCTGGAAAAGAGGTCACTGGTCATCTTTTGAAAGTCCCTTCTCTAAAATAGAAGAAATATATATCTGGTGGACAGGAAGACAGAAATCACAAAGGAAAAAGAACTTTATGTCTATGATCATCTAGTCCCTGTCAGAATGCCTGGGTAAAATGACAGCAATGAAGCGAATGGCTGAACATGGCATCTAATCGTGTTTAGTTAAAGAACGTCTGGGGTAAGAAAGGCACGTAGGAAGCATTCATGGTCATCTACGTCTGTCTCTTCATATCATGGTATGTTGTACACACAGCAGTTAGCCCACAACTACAAGTAAAAGTGAGGCCAATTGATGGAACTCAAAGCAGTAATTTAGCAATCCTTCCAGTATAGATTTCCTTCTATAAAATCAGACAGAAAGGGAAAATCTAGTATTAGTTAGATTATATGAGCCAGAGACGGTGTTAGCAGAGTCTCATAGCTTTTCCTTGAGGATGTCCATTATATGCATTTGGGTTCCCCGGGGCTGACCGCCCCCTGGATACCCAGAGTTATCATGTCTTAATGCAAGACATCACTCAGTGCTAAAATCTTTGCAACTGCGTGGCCTTGAAGAGGGGCCGTGGTGGTGCAGTGGTTAAGCATTTGGCTAGTAATCAAAAGGTCAGCAGTTCGAATCCACCAGCCGCTCCTTAGGAACTCTATGGGGCAGTTCTACTCTGTCCTATAGGGTCCTAAGAGTTGGAATTGACTCGACGGCAACGGGTTTGGTTTGGTTTTTGGACTTGAAGATCCTCTCAGAAAAACTGGTAAATGGAATTAAGACAGCCTCAGTTATCTGGAGTCGAATGTGGTGACAGACAGTATAAAAAGAAAGAGAAAAATTCTGCAAACAGAAGAAAGTGGGGAAAGGATGATGAAATGTGCCGGTGGCAAGGACAGAGAGGAAACAGGGCAAAGTATGAAAGAAACTAAAGTAAAAAACGTGCGTGTGCACGCGTACATCAGCGGACGGGAAAGAAAACTGGACAGCACCAGAAGGTGAGCAACCAAGAAGACAAAGGGAAGCAGTGGAAAGGCAATACCCAGAACAGAAAGCTTAAAATTGGGATCTTCTGCATATTTCAGAGTTCAGAGTCAAGACTCTAAAATAAGAGAAGACAACATTAATTGGAAAAGTAGTTAAGAATAGTTCCAGACAGAAACGGGGGAACAAAACAAAAAAGTAGGCAGGCATTAACAAGATGAGCCCAGAAGAAGAGAAGAGAAATGGTAAAAGGAGGAAGGTAGGGCCCACAAGCACGAGGCGCTTGAGTGCAGACAAGAGCTGACAGGAAAGAATTTGGAAAAAAAGATCAAGAGGAAACAAGCAGACAAAACGCCCAGGCCAAAAAAAAAGTACAGGCTCACTTCCTTTCCACAAGATTGTTGAAGTAACTAACCCAGCATTTCTACTCTGTTCTATAGGGTCACTATAAGTCAGAATCGACTCGACGGCACACAACAACCCCAACCAGCATTTTCCCATAATACTGCAACGCTAAAGGCTTTTGTTAGTGAAGGTTTCCATGTCCCTCCACAGATATCAACACTCCGTTAGGCAAATGTATGGGAGATGCAGTAGATGGAAACATGGCAGGCCAAAAACAGAGGACGATTCTTTTAACGTGTTCTTCTGGAAAGAAAAGAGATATATCTAACTTCAATTGTGTAATAATTACAGTAAACACCTCCGTTAATTTTAAAATCCTATTTCACTTGAGGAACTGTAAGTCAGTACAGCTTTGCTTCTTCAATGTAAAGTTATCTACAAACACACCACACTTAAAAGGGTGTTTGCTTATATAGTAAAATGAAATTTGGTGTTTCATATGGTCACCTTGTCGCTATTCTGTAATTCAAAGAGAATTTATCAAGGGAGAAAAAAGCAAATGCACTTTTTAACTTGGTGTTTTGGGAGCACTGGCCCATGTGCTCTTGGAAATGAGAACGGCCAGAATTTTGTCTCAGAGGAAAGTAAACCTAAAAAAGGAACATTAAAAAGAAAAAAGGAAAAGAACAGCAACAACAGACACCATACAGAGCTTACCATTTTTTTGACTTCAGCCGGGGAGGAGGGTTTCTGGGAATGAGGAACAGTGCTCTCATCGGATGCATGTCACAGAGAGCTGGGGAGAGGACACGGGTGTGTAAGTACGACGCTTATTTTACTTGCTCTTGATTTCTAGGGCTCACTCGTAACATTGGATGCTCTGTCCCACCGTCCAATTGATACACTTTTCGTCAACAAGCCTAGACATCTAGTTATGACCCTTAGGACACACCCAGTTGAATTCCTCGCAGCAAAATATACGGAGAACAAGAGCAACAAGAATACGCCATTTCAAACAGACATTGGAAAATTTTCACAAATTAAAGATCAATAAACAGTCTTAAAGGAGTTAACACCTTAAGCTTTTAAATCATTTGTAACATTAAAATTAAAATAACTGTATTTTCACAGGGTGGTTGTGAGGATTAAATAAAACAATGCTTGTAAAGGCCTTAACACGATGCCTAGCACAGATTAAGATGAAGCCCTCCAAAAAGGTTACTTGTTCGTTGTTATATCTGGTAATACTATGAAAGGGCAAAAAATATGAGTCTAAAGTTACATTGTTTAATTCTGTGCTGTTACTGGTTGTACTTCTCTCACTTGCCCGAGGAAGGCTCTTTAGGCACATGTCACGCGTTAACACGTCAGAATAGGCAACGTGCATCTTCATGTTTACCTACGTTCGAGAGAATCTTACAAGGCAGCTAGGAAACAAGGCAAAGAAGCAGATAATACTAGTCCCATTGTGAGAGAAAACTGAGACAAAGGATCGGGCAATACCTCCCCATCTCAAGGGCTTAGAGGGAAACATGGAGGGAATACGTGGTTTTCAAAGCAGATATCCATTTCTGTACTACAAACTAATTTTTTGCTGTTGATATGTTCATTCATTCAACAAGTATTTATTCAGCACCAACTATGTACCAATAGTTATGTACTCTTTTGTGTATACCTTTGAGTGGGGGGCCTGTAGAAAATGGGACTTTATCTTTTGTTCTCTGCAAGTATGCCCATCTCTGATCAAAAATCCATTTTATGAAGTTCCCATTTGATTTAATACAAAGGAGAAGCAAACACTCTTACAAAAGGCAGAAAAATCTCATAGGTAATAGAAAAAAAATATTCTATGGATAAAAAGTTATGTCCCTATTTGCCAAGTCAAAATATAAACAATACTAAAATATCATGTGATTGAAATCAGTTTCACAGAATACCAAGTTTAAAAGGTAAAAAGAAAATTCACTGGCTATTATCTGAACTCAGCATAATTTCAGGTCACACCTATCAGTACAGCTTAAATAAAAGAAAATGTAGGCTACGGACCTCAGGGAGATCTTCAAAAGGAAGAGGAGATCCCAAGAAATTCTTTTACATCTAAAATCTCAATGTATCAATGATTCATTCCTGCATCGAAATGCCCCACCAGGATTGGCTCCATCCATGGAGCTGGGTTTTCTGAAGCCTTGAGACTAGGTTTAAGTTACATGAAGCAAGGGGGCTAAAAAGGAGAGAAAGTTACTTACGGGGAGCACCCTCTGCCATCTCAATGGCGGTAATGCCACAAGACCAAAGGTCACTCTGCAAAAATAAAACCACATGTTATGGATACCGGATTAGCAATGATGCCACTCACTTAGAATTCTGGTATTCATGCAAATGAAATGAAGGCATTATTTGCTGTATAAACTAACAGAGAGTTTGCCAGAAAATTAAAGAGAACACACACGCTTATAGGAACACCTTACAAAGAAACAATACAGACAAAACTGATTTGCTCATGAAAATCCTTCCTATCTACGAATCAGAGATGGTCTACATAAAAGCTGCTCACTGCCCACTGCACGGTCTACTGCTTGGCAAGTTTCTTTGTTTCTTTACATTCAATGGTTTAGACCCTGGCCCAGATTTAAGCCTATTTTTATATTTAGTTCCTCACACTTAATTGCAATTTTAAAAGTTTAAAGGCCAGAAATCGCTCTTTATAAAAGTTCCACAGGTGAATTCCTAAATCCGTTCGCCAGTTCATATCACGTTATTTGACATCTCCATGCTCCCTTCAAATTAAACGAGCAGTGAGCTATAAATAGTCTTTCTGTGCATGGAATCTTTTCCTTCTCATTTCCCTGAAATAGTAATTTAAAAATCTGAATTTTAACTTTATTCTCTACTCAAACATAAGTTCCATGAAGGCAGTTTTATTCACTTTTGTACCCCCAAAATCATAACTGCCAACGGCAGACACTCAATAAACGCTGGTTGATGAATGAATGAAATCTTACCAGCCGGATGTCTTAAAATCCAAACAACATTTTAAAGAAGCAGATAACCTGTCGACTTTCATTAGCATCCTTTCGTTTATATGCTATTGAACTAAGGAATTACTTCAACTGGCTCAGTTTAAGGAGTTTTTAAATAACCTATAATTATGCTAAAAACAAAGTTGAGACATGTATGTTTGAATACAAAAATAAGAATAAACCTAAAAAATCAAACCCATTGCCGTCGAGTTGATTCCAACTCACAGCAACCCTACAGAGCAGAAATGCCCTATAGGGTTTCCAAGGAGTGCCTGGTGGATTTGAACTGCTGACCTTTTGGTTAGCAGCTGTATCTCTTAACCACTGTGCCACTAGGGTTTCCAAGAAGAATAGGCCTATGAATTTCTCCCTTCTTTTCATGAAGTTTTCTAGTCTATAGTGGTACAAACGAGGGGTCACCACCCTAACCCAGTGACCAGTCTTCATGGTAGGACAAGAGATGGTACCCGATCCCTGATGTGATGTAACACAAAGCAACCCCATTGTCTGTGAGGCCATCTTGCTTAAAAGGTTTTCCTTGATGCTAACTGAGCCTTCCCAGTTTACAGAAAACAAGCTAAATATCACAAAGAAGTAAACAGACAAATCTAGCAGGTGGAAATTTTGTATTATGCCCAGCATTTTCAGCCAGTTAGTATCAAGGAAAAAAAAAAGTATATTCTACATTGAGAGACTCAATGGGCAAAGCAACCAAATACAACTGAAATAAGGAATTACTTTTAAATAACTCAGTCATGATGATAGTTTGGGGATGCTGAAAAACATTTTCAAATTTTAGAGATATATAATGATGTATTGGAGCCCTGCTAGTACAGTGGTTAAGAGCTGGGCTGCTAACCAAAAGGCACGCAGTTCAAATCCGTCAGCTGCTCCTTGAAAACCCTATGGGGCAGTTCTACTGTGTCCCATAGGGTCTCTATGAGTCAGAATCGACTCGATGGCAACGGGTTTGGTTTTGGTTTAATGATTTATTAAAGAGTCACAAAATCTGGAACCTATTTTAAAATACTTCAGCACATAAAAAAAATAAAAATTCCTCTGGATCACAGGCTTAATTTGGGTTGCATTAACTGGGTATTTGTAATAAATTCTGAAATACATTGGCGTGTACTAAGACAAACTCAAATTTTGAATATTATTACCAGGTGCATTAACCACTCTGGCTCATTTAATTAAGGCAAAGGGATTTTGTTAAAATAAGTTCTGTGAACATACTCAACCTGAGTCTGATTATCAAATATGGGTTTTATACCATGATCAAAGAAGTAGTATTAGTGATTCCAGTTCCTAGAGATCACTCCAATAACATAAATACATCTGTGTACCAAATCAAAGTAGTCTTTAACAAGACTACTCTAACAATTCTGCATACGTGAAACTGTTGTTATATATTCTGACATTTTAAAAAGAATAAATATCTGATTCTAATGTAGTCTTCAAATTTAAAAGGATAGGAAACAGAGCAGAAGCGTTTAGTTTATCTAGGACAAAAAAGGCCCATACACGAAGTGACCCAGGCTGCCTTAAAGCCAGTATATTATGAACACCATAGGTGATGCAGAATGGGCAAAAAAGTGACAGCACTGTCATGTATTCCTGGCAAATTTAAACTTTCTCAGGGAAAAAGCAGCTAGAAATCAGGAGTGTGCTACTTGTCAGCAAGGCCCCCATCCCCTAACAACGTCAGTGACGCCGTGAAGACCAGTCGAGCAGCCGTCTCTTACTCTGTAATCGTAGGTGGCATCTGGGTTCTCGTCACAGGCAATGACCTCGGGAGCCATCCAGTATGGGGTGCCTATGAACGTATTTCTCCTCCCCACCGTCCTGTCCAGCTGAGCGCTCACCCCAAAATCAACTGTGGGGAGAAGAGAAAGGAAGGAAAAGTAGAACAATTAGCAAACAAATTTAAAAAGGGTATTCAAAAATGGAAGGAGAAGTGTCTTCAGAGTGAACTGAAACAGTAATGCTCCACGAACGTGTAACTCTCCTCAAGGCAGGCAACACTGGTAAGGAGTGTCCTTTCCAGAGAGCAAAGCCACTGAGACTGCAGGATCCTCCTTTCCAGAGCAAAGCCACTGAGACTGGAGGATCCTCCACTAGTCTGTAAGCTCCTGGGAGGCCTGGACAGGCTGTCTCCCTGAGCTTCTCCCACCGTGACCAGCAGAGGGCCTTCTGAATAACGATTTTCAGTGCTTTCAGAGAACATGACTGCCATAATCAATCAAGTTATAGAAAATCCCAAGTTAGGGAGAACTGACTGAGACCCACTTGACTTAGCTTCTTAAGCAGCAGAAATACCTATATGAAGTTAAGAAAGCCACACAGGTTTTCTAGGGAAGAATAGAGTACTGCATTAAATAAAAGGAATCAAGCTAAATCTCAAGTATACTAGGAAACATCCCCAAAGCACTTGGGACTTTGATTTTTCAGAGCAACTACTACATCCCACCCAATTTAATGATGGTGGTGATCTAGAGGAAAGTCCGAGGTTGGGAGGTAGATTTGGCAGGAAAACCACAGATCTCTAGTGGAAGGCCAATCTCATCACTACACACACTGCCATTATACCCAGCAGGAGTGCACAAAAGTGGGGGATTTCATGCAAAAGGGCCTAGGAAGTGCCGAGATCATTCACAAGGGCCACGGATTCAAGTTCTGAGTACAGAACATGCTCAGGAAACTAGCTGGCCAGGGGGTGGGCTCGCTCGCCGAATGCTCTTCTTGAGACAGAGACACATGGGCCATGCAGAGCAAAAACCTAAGCGAGCTTCGCAGCACCTTGTACATCAATAGCCGTCGATCACTAGGTGACTCAGGGACCGTCACAGGCCTAGCACCACGAGGCCAGTGCAGGGAAAACGTGCAGCTCACTGAATCGTCCGTGTGTAAGGATGATTACAGTGTCTATCTTAGCTTTCAGGGGATCTTCCAATTGGGCAGACTATTCCTCCAAAGATGGGCCAATAAATGTAGGCAGTATGCAAGGAAGCAATTAGAAGATTTTTATTTTTAAAAGTACAACGACTGTGCCTAAGATGTTTGAAAAAAAGGTGAACTTACGAACATAAAAAAATTTTTTTTTCTCTTGATACCTTAGTGGAAGAAAAGTTAATGTGAATTCTGTTTAAAAATTTGATGGAACCATTAGGACAGTGGAATGGGAACAGATCCAGCTGAAGGGAGCAAGAACTATAAAATAAAAAAACAATCAGTGAAGTCATCTCTAGGAAGACACCATGGGCTCCATCCCATCCATCCATTCATACATTTATTGAGCACCTACAATTCAAGGCACTATGCTAGGTGTTAGAGAATATCCTGGTGAATAAAACAATCCTAGTCCTGCACTCCTGGGACTTACAGCTCCGTCTATAAGTAAATAATTGCATACAGTCATGCGTCCCTTAACGTCCACGATAGGGTCTGTGAAACAGGATGCTGTGAGTACACCTGAGCGCTCAGCCGGGTCCCGCCGGTGTGCAGCCCTGCAGCCCAGTGAAGGGCATGACAGGGATGCCACAGGCACCAGCCAGGGCAGCAGGCAAGCGGTCTCAGCGACCCAGCACCCCCACCGGGCCCCATGATGCCTGCCAACCTGGGGCACTCAGGAGCAGGACTGGGCGCCCACTCGTCCCAGCAGCAGAGGCGCTTGTTCCTGTGGGTAGGGGGCGGGCTCACTGCCAAGTGGGTATGCTGGAGAGCATGTGCCGGAACACGGACATATACATGGTCCCACGCTGCCCGAACGGACGTTATGTGACACACGACTATAATTATAAACTGTGATCAGTACTATGAAGGCAATAAGCGCGGGAAGGAGCCCAACATGAATCAGAGGGTCAAGGACAGTCTCTAGGGATGAAGGAAAAGGTGCAGCTTCAAAACCGGGGCCAGTGCCCCCAATGTGGATAATCTGTATGACGGGCCTGAGGCGTGTTCCAGGAAGTTAAAGGACAGTGGCTGAGGCAAAGAGAGGTGAGGGTCGCAGAATAAGGTGGGAGGGTAGCAGTGATCTGATCCTTTTGAGCTTTTTATGAGTGGAGTCAGAAATCTGGATTTTATTCAAAGCGACATAGGAAGCCGCTAGCGGTCTTTAAGCAGGGAAGTGACATGATCTGATTTAAAGAATAGTCTGGCTCCCGTACGGAGGACAGACCAGAAGGGAGAACGGGGGGCGGGAGGGAGCTAGGCTAAGTAACAAGCCCAGTTCCCACCTTCTTCAACAGAAGAGAAATTTAAAAACTGTGGGTAACAGGCTGAACTGAGCTACATGACCGACGGGGCATGGCGCACTGCTGGCTTGTTCGGGGGGCAGGTGTCAGAGAACACCGCACGTGGTTCACATACCTAGTTTCACCTCTGCGTTCTCGGTCAGCAGGACATTCTGGCCCTTGATGTCCCGGTGAATCACATGATGAATGTGAAGATGTGCCAGACCCTGAACAGTGAACACAGAGCTGAGCGTTAGTTCTTTGTTGCCATAAGCAAACAGCCGGGAACACAGCTTCTATAACAAAGTGCATACGTGGTCCAAAAGTTTGTGTGAACTCCTACGTAGTACATTTCCAGGAAGATGACAGACAGACAGAAAGAAGCCTCCTCTTCCCACTAGCATTCCAACTGGTTAGGTTCCCCAGAGAAGTTACAACACCATCCTCTAGCTGTGCCTTTAAGACACACTTCAGACTACCATCTGCAGCTTCTCTGCTATAATTTGTGCTATTTATGGACAGGGTGGTTCCTTTCCCACGCTAAACGCCTATCTTTCAGTGGGTGACCCCATGGGTATATCTAAACTAGATACATCCCAGGGGAAAGACGAAGGGCTAGAGCAGGGTTTAAAATCTGGCTTTTGGATACTGGATAGTTTTTCCATTGCACAGCGATGAACTGCTAATCAATCCGACCTCTATGCCAAACATAAAATATAATTCTGCTGTCAAAAGTGCTTTGTGTTCAAATGAAATATGTTTCTTTCCCAAGGAAACAAGCCTACTGGGCATAGAGCAATTTTTGATGACCTCGTGTCTGAAATGAAACCCAAAAGCATGTCTCTTACGAGAGGCGGTGGAAGAAGAAAACCACATGCTGCATCCAAATAGGACCCAGAAGACAGAAATGCATCATCTGCACATCTCACTTACTCACTCTGACCTGAGCTGGAGAAGGAAGAGCCACAGCTTCTTCCCAAAGACACAAGCAACCTATTTACTCTGAAACGCCTCAACTCCAAAAGGCTAAATCAGAAGTAAGGGTTTATTTGATGGTCCTATTTAATTTTTTTGTGGGGTTTTGCTGTCATTACTTTGTAGGAGATGAATTAAATATAACAGCTGCTCTAGAACACCGACTTTTCTAACATAAAGTTTTTTAAACAATCATTTACAAGTCTGCCTGCGAAACAGAGTACAGTCAATTTGATGGTTCTGTTTATTTTTCGGCAACACAGGATGTGCAGTGTTATACCACAAAGCCCTGACGAGGGAAAAAAAGCACTAAAAATACATGGTTATCTCAGTGCTATAATTAGGAAGAAAGTTCCTTCTCTGAGCCTGGTATGACTTCCAGCGCCCTTTATCCTTGCAAAAAAAAAAAAAAGAGAGAGAGACAAAAAAAAAAATGTAGCTTCCCTAATTCTTTCATTAATTCCTACTTCAATTACTTCTGTTCATTATTATTCTCTAATTTGCACAAACTGCCTTCTTACACTTTTCACCAAAATTATCTCAGCAACGAGCATAAACACTCAAACAAAAGCAGTAACCTGATGCACACAAGTTTTCTTTGCGAGCAGTAAATTTAAGACAACCATGTCCACGCCTCTGTCCACAGTGTTAAAGGATGACTCCTTCTGCATGTAGAACGGTTTCAGGTGCACCTGAGAGCTCTCTGAAAGAACACCCAATGTTAACCTGCATTGTGATTATTCCACACAATGAACGCATTTTGCTATATGAAGGTCCTGGGATGAGACAACTTGAGTGTGTTCAACCACTCCCATGACAAAAGCTAGGTCACCATTATTCCTCCTTAGCAGAGATGCCAAGTCCAAATCCTCAGCAAACACCCCAACTTAGAGCTAATGAATTTATGTCTTTAAATCAGGAAACCTTTTTCCTGCAATTCTATCTCACTGATGGATGCATAACCAAGTACTAGTTGAGGCTGTCCCTTAGTACTGGCTACGGAAGGCCACAAGTGTTCATATTCAGTAAGAAATATTGGTTTCTACAAAAATGAAAATACTGCCATATTGAACGTGAACACGGATGTGGGCTGGAATGAACATGCTGGCTTGCTGGTAAACTTTCTGGTCCTGAGGGTTTCAGTGGGGTACCCAAAGACAGCATTTCTACTGATGTTTAAGGCCTATATGCTCGTGACTCTCACCCTTTTGAGGATCGAGCATCTAAACCTAACATCTACTAAAGTATGAAGAAAAGGTTTCTCACTACAAAAATTAGCCACCCCTAACCATGTTTCTGAGAACGTAGGTTATCTGCTTTGGGGTGGCTGTTGACATTTCCCATGAGGCCTAATCTCCTTCTTACCCTCTTGCTTTCTCTTTACCAAAACCATCTTAACAACTCTTAAGATAAATGCGCACTAGGGTACGATATATTAACTCTTCCAGAGACTTTTTATTTATGTTAACTTAAACGTTTGTTTAACAAAAAAGCCCCATTCTAGATGAAATCTAGATGAAGGAAGCTTTTGTTCCAGGTGCCTACTGAGGTGAAAAAGATTTTCTGCATCTCAGAAAGATATCCATTCACCTACCATACTCAGGCCGATTAGAGGCCTCAAACAACCAAGTCTTGTTTTAAACGTCGCCTGAGATTAATGGTGGTTATTGTTGTTGTTAGGTTCTGACTCATAGTGACCCTATGTACAAAAGAATAGACAACACTGCCTGGTCCTGCACCATTCTCACAATCGTTCCTATGTTTGAGACCATTGTTGCAACCACTGTTTTTATCAATCCATCTCATCACGGATCTTCCTCTTTTTTGCTGACCCTCTACCGTACCAAGCGTGATGTCCTTCTCCAGGGACTGGTCCCTCCTGATAAAGTGTCCAAAGTATGTGAGATGAAGTCTCACCATCTTTGCTTCCGAGGAGCACTCTGGCTGCACTTTTCTCAAAACAGACTTGTTTGTTCTTCTGCAGTCCATGGTATATTCAGTATTCTTCACCAACAACATAATTCAAAGGGATCAATTCTTCTTCGGTCTTCTTTATTCATTGTCCAGCTTTCACATGCATTTGAGGTGACTGAAAATATTATGGTTTGGGTCAGGAGCACCTTAGTCTTCAAAGTGACACCTTTGCTTTTCAACACTTTAAAGAGGTCTTTTGCAGCAGATGTGCCCAATACAATACGTGGTTTGATTTCTTCACTACTGCTTCCATGGGCGTTGATTGTGGATCCAAGTAAATATCCAACTTCAATATTTTCTCCATTATATCATGATGTTGCTTATTGCTCCAGCTGTGAGGATTTTTGGTTTCTTTATGTTGAGGTGTAATCCATACTGAAGGCTGTGGTCTTCGACCTTCATTGGTGTTTCCAGTCCTCTTCACTTTCAGCAAGCAAGGTTGTGTCATCTGCACATCACAGGTTGTTAATCAGTCTTCCACCAATTTTGATGCTACATTCTTCTTCATATAGTCCAGCTTCTCGGATTATTTGCCCAGCATGCACATTGAATAAATGTGGTAAAAGGCTACAACCCTGAGGCACACTTTCCTGATTTTAAACCACACAGTATTCTTTCATTCTGTTTGAACAACTACCTCTTGATCTATGTATAGGTTCCTCATGGGCACAATTAAGTGTTCTGGAATTCCCATTCTTCATAATGTTATCCATAATTTGTTATGATCCACACAGTCCAATACCTTTGCATAGTCAATAAAACACATGTAAACATCTTTCTGGTGTTCTCTGCTTCAGCCAAGATCCATCTTACATCAGATAGCCCTCATTCCACGTCCTCCTCTCAATCCAGCTTGAATTTCTGGCAGTTCCCTATCGATGTACCGCTACAACTGTTTTTGAATTATCTTCACCAAAATTTTACTTGCGTGCAGCATTGATGATACCATTCAATAATTTCCGCATTCTGCTGATCACCTTTCTTTGGAATGGACACAAATATGGATCTCTTCCAGTGGGTTGGCCAGGTAGCTGTCTTTCAAATTTGTTAGCATAGCTGAGTACTTCCAGCGCTGCATCCATCTGCTGAAACATCTCAATTGGTATTCCATCAATTCCTGCAGCCTTGATTTTTGCTAATGCCTTCAGTGCAGCTTGGACTTCTTCCTTCGATACCATCAATTCTTGATCATACACTACCTCCTAAAATGACTGAATGTGGACCAATTCTTTTTGGTACAGTGACTCTGTGTATTCCTTTCATCTTCTTTTGATGCTTTCTGTATCGTTCAATATTTTGGCCACACAATGGTGGTAAAATATATATATATTACATATTATAGGTAAACAGTGCTTGCCTGTGCATACAAAAAACATGTAAAGTTGTCTCTGATAGCTGAAATGCATTCAATGAATTATACTGAAAGCCAGTTCTCTGCTTGAGAAATCTTATCCTGGAATTGGATGTAGGAAAGGTAAGTGCATGTGTGTGTTTATAGGAGAATAATGACAGCAACTAATATTCACTGAGAGGTTGCTGTGTGGTCTAGGCATTACATTAAATGATTCACATACACTAGCTCATTTAATTCTCATACTAATAGTACTTAATTCTTAGGGCTGTTATCTAAAAGTTACAGATGAGGAAAGCAAGTCCTGGAAGTTGAGTAACTCTGCCAGTGGTCTATAATAAATACGGAGCAGAACAAGGACTCAAACCCAAGTCTGACTAACTCCTGGGTCCGACCTCTGGACCACCGTGCTCGCCTGCCTACCAAGCTAGGTAGAAGTTCTAGCTATTAATATAATGAACCCATCTGCTCACGTACCAAACTCCCGCAGAGTGGCTTAGAGCAGGATGCTGACTTTCCCACTTCTAGGCTCTGCTTCCTATAATAATCATAAAAGACGGACCTTGACATTTTAATAATGAAGTTTGAGTGTGATTATAAAAAAAGATGGTCCCCCCCACCCCTACAACTAGTTTTTTTAAGAGAATTGCTCAGTATTTTCAAGAGCTCCATAAAATGTCCAAATAAAATGAAATTGGATGTTTTTCTAAGAATTCTGAAGAGCATTTTTTAAACCTGCAATCCTCTATTAATCTTAAACATACAAAGTGGGGTAAACTTACCTATAAATAAAAGATAGAGCAACTGCCTACTTATAAGATTTTTTTTTAATTAGAGGAAGAAGCATAACAACCGGATTCCAGTTTTAACTTGCACATTTTTTATTTTAAAATAAAATAAGTAAATGAAATGCAACCGAGTAGTTTAAGTGTGTTATCTGGACGTGAAGTGACGAGAGGAGATGTGGTGGCTGACAAACGGAACAGACACACGCTGGTAACTCACGGGCACTTTTCAGATATGAAATCTAAAAAAACCCTCTCCCGTGAGGGCAGGGTGGCTCTGTCACTGAAGGGGATCGTTTGAAAGCTGCTCAAACAGCAGCTGGGAAACTTACTCTAAGATCCTAAGCCAGCTTTCCAACTGGCTGTAAATAACATTAAGCATTAGAACTGTTCCTCATAAATATTACAACAGATTCTAATAGCGAATGCCAGAGTTCACAGGATGACTTTGAAAGCCAGCATTTAGCACCATTAGTATTGATTTCATAAGCTTACACGCAGGGCTGCTACAAAAACAATAGTTAGAGATCATTTCTCTTCCCCTCCCCTCTGATTTTCTTTTTAACTTCCAAGGAAAGATGTTATTCGGTGTGCAGTGATGGCCTGGAGGATAAACTTTAGGGAAATAGGGAAAAACTACTTTTTATTCAAGTCCAACTTCTTTAGATACTTACCAGAGTTATAACCATGATGTAGCTTAAACTACCAGGCTAGCTATACAGAGCCACTGGTTTTCAAGCAGAGAATAACCTGCATAGGTATTACTAATGCAAAGAACTACTCCAGGCTAGGAAAATGCAAACATAAGCACCAGAATGCCTATTAGGGCACCACAGCTGCGGCCTCTCCTTACCCTCAGGATTTCTCTGGAGATGTAAGCGATCCAGTCTTCTTTGAGTGTGTTCCCTTTGGTGTTCTTTACGAGGTCTGTAATGGACCCAGCCCCGCAGAATTCCATGACAAGCTACAGGGCAGACAAGACACACTGTGACTAATACATTCCAACAGTCAGAGAGAGCATTACAGGTTTCAGTACACACTAGAGAAGTTATTAAAGCGCAGTCAGCCCACTCCACCCTTCCTAAAGACCCAGGCACATGAACTCTTTGGAGACATACTAATTATTTAGAGCTCATGTCACTGTCCAATGTATCCACTATGTCTACGTGGTCCAGGAGACTGAGATTTTCTGCAATTCTACAGCACATCCCCCAGTGCAGAGGTTCTGGAAGGTTCATACTCTATTGTAAGCATATGGGCCTGGGAGGCACAGTTTGGTCTGACCCTTAATCAATGCCCACTTATCAGAAATCTGATTCAAATACTCCCTAATATTCTTTCCCGTTTAGCCTCAAAAAATGTATTCTTACACTCTGATCTTCAATCTATTTTATATTAACTGGATTTAGTACAAAAGAGAAATGCTATTATTAAGAAGTATATAATTTTTTAAAATGTACTATTTACAATACCTAAATGTTTATACAGGATGTTCACAACCACATTTTAAAAGTACTTAGAACTACACTAAACCTTTAAACTACGCTTTAACTATGAATGGATTTGGATGATGGGAATTGAGTGATTTCTTTCCCTTCTACTTTTTCAATTTCGCAAATGTTCTACAATTGCTCCAAAAAAAGCTTCATTACAAAAAGTATTACTCCATCTTCCTGCTTTGGAAGTTGAATACCATGAGCATAACTAATGTGATAACCATAATAAAAAACCAAACCTGTTGCCATTGAGTCGATTCCAACTCATAGCGACCCTATAGGACAGAGCAGAACTGTCCCGCAGGGTTTCCAAGGAGCGGATGGTGGATTCACACTGCCGACCTTTTGGTTAGCAGCCGTAGCTCGTATTGAATATAAATGTGTTCAATAACAGACAAGGTTTTTAATGCATCAGTTCCAGAAATGCCCCTGAATTTACTGTCTTTAATTAACAGGATCATTAATATTATTAACAAATCACTGCCAGAAGTGTGTTTTCTGGAGATTTGTCTCTTACCTCTAAGTGGTAAAGAAGGATGCAATTAATTGAGCTAAGCAGCTCCCATACAGTTTTTATTGTATCACTTTTATTTTCAACCTCCCATTTTCCTTGCTATTTCATCACAATCCTTTTAAAACATGCCATTTTATTCTTGAAATAATCAATTCTTTTCTGTGCAATGTGAAATCACCATCAAAATAAGCATTCAGTCCACCTTCAAACCAGATACAAGCCAAGGAAGCCTTCAGAATCCACCAGCTTCCCTTTGCTCCCCACTCCCTTTGAAAAGTACTTAGTACCCTTATAATACAGCCAAAGAAGAAAGCCCTACAAAACGCTGGGGAAACATCTGCCTACCCAGAGCTGGTCATCATGTCCTGGAGGGCTCTTTTTAATGAAAGCACCGTAATATGTTGCAATATTTCTATGATGTGAGTATCTCTTCAGCATGTTGATCTCCAGTTTGATTTCTTCCTCTTCATCCTCAAGAATAAAAAACAGAATAAAATAAAACACACTGCTTTTGAGTGAAGTGTGTGACTTCACTTTCCCCGCACACAGGCAATCACAAAAGGAACACAACTCCCCAGTCCCACCAGAAGTAAAGGAGGTATATACATTCACTTTTATCCTCACACCAAGATTTAGGGATCTTAAGGGGGCCCAGCCTTTGAAATGAGATTACAAGCTATGCAAGAAATACATCAAGTACAAAGGATAAGATGTGTACGGAAGAGCACAGGGCAGTGCACAGGGCAGGGCGGTGTAGTCCCAGATGACTACTAGGTGATCTCAGGCAATGTACTCCATTTCAAGGGGCCTCAATTTGCTCATCAAAGCAGGGAAAAAAACCCAGAATTGACTGATACTATATTAACTAGCTACAAGGAAAGATTGTTTTCTAGTAAATATTTATGAATATAAATCATCTGGCACATTTAAGGCCAGATAACATCCATTTCTAACAACCTCCACAGCAGCAGCCCCTCTCGGGAGGCCAGAGCAGAGTGAGAAACACAGACCAGCAACACAGCCCCTCAGTGGCCCGTTCAATGAGAATCTGCACCCTCAAAGAGATGAGGATGAGGCCGCTGACTTTGAGTAAGAAAACTCACTCCGTGATCAAGTTTTTGCAGACTTGGCTTCTCCCCTAGCTTTTGGCTTTACTGAAATAATATGAGCAGAGAAAGAAACACAGAGTTTCTGTGAGAAGATCAGGTGAGGAATGAAGGACAGAGATGGGGACGCAGGTCTGCAAAGTAAAAATAAGCTGCCCTCGTGAATGACGAGGCCCGAGAAGTCCACACAGCTGCTGCCTTTCTCTCTCGTACACCTGGTGAAGAACGGTACCAGCATGGCGTTCCGTCTCTTGTACATCACGACGTAAAGTGAGAACTCTACCACAGTACCTACAAAGAGTGACGTCAACAAAGACGTTTAGGTCACGTGGGAATGACGGGAAGGTGGAATTAAAGTGACACAGAAGAGAGACTGTACAGGGAAAGAGAAAAATCAGCCTTGGTTAGAAAGTGGTGTTTGAGGGAAGGTAACGGGATTCACGGAGCCCTGGTGGCGCAGTGGTTAAGAGCTCAGCTGCTAACCAAAAGGGAGGCAGTTCGAGTCCACCAGCTGCTCCCTGGAAACCCTACCAGGCAGTTCTACTCTGTCCTACAGGGCTGCTATGAGTTGGCACCTACTCCACGGTAACAGGTCTTTTTAAAGGTGCTCAAGAAAAATCTGAAGACCAGATCTCCAGAATTCCCTATACTGTACTCATTTTCAAAAGGAAACGATGGCTGGCTCCCTTAAAACGCCTCCACGTTGTTTTTCAACACAGACACACTCATTCCACTCGTGACCGATGCCCTTCCCCTCCAGGGTTACGGAGTAGCCCAGGACACGTGCACACCTGTGTGAGAGAGGGGGGCGTGTGTGTGAAGGGCTCACACAAGCATCATTGGGGGAAAACACGGAAGGAAGACACCAACAGGGCAAAAGAAGGTCAAACACACACACACACACACCCTTAGAAAAAGCCCACCGTTTCCGCCTAGCGTCTCCAAAACCACTCGAAGGCATTGCTGATCTCAAGTAAGAAGGCCTTGAGTAGTCAAATCCCAGGACCATATGAAATTGAACTACAAAAACGACCAAGGGAAAACCATCTTCTCCTTTCCACTAACTGTTTTAGGGCGAAGTTTACGTATACTTCAAACACTCCTTTTCTTGCTTTTATGATTTTAAAATAGATGACTCCTAACAAATCTTACAAAATGAAAAGGCATTTAACACAGCCAATTGTCATTTACTGTCTAATCAGGAGTGCCCACCTTGGAGAAAAAGTGTTAGAAATGCAGAATTTGCCAAAGGCTTTGCGCCAACTACAATTGGAATCTAATTATGACTAATGCTTATTATACACTATTTCATGTTGCCTTTAAAGGAACGAATCAGCATCTGAGTTCAAATCTCCCTTCAGTCATTAATCTAGAACAAGTTTGGTGGTCTCATTCCAGCACTTAAAAACATAAACACACACAACCCACTGGCCACCACCACCAAAAAGAAACACCTCATTTAGCCTAAGAAGGCAAAGCAGAAAACAGACTTGGGGCAGGCCTGAACTGAAATTTTAAAACAACAAATCCCCAAGTGAAAAGAAAACTGAACTGGCAAAACTACGCCAAGGAAGTTTATATACCCCGTGTGTCTAGACCGGTCCAAACTACTTTGCCCTTTTCTCTTTAAGAGGCCACAGTCACATACAGACGAGAAATAACTTAGGGTAGACTGAGAGGCAGAGGAAGGCGCTCTGGTGGCGCAGTGGTTAACAGCTAGGCTGCTAACCGAAAGGTCAGCAGTTCTACTGTGTCCTATAGGGTTCACCATGAGTTGGAATCGACTTGAGGGCAACGGGTTTTGTTTGAGAGGGGAGACAGGCCTTCTTGGTAAGAAAGGCGAGGCTCCCTCCAGTTTTTCTGCAATGGAAAGGAAGCAGCTCACCCCCACTTAGTGACTGAATGCAGCTGATGCTAATTAGCATTTTGGACTCTAACCAGCAGGAGCCAACACTCACAGAAAAGGCCTTTGTCTCAGGCTGGGATCTCAGGCTGGGATCTGACTGGGTGATGGAGATGCCTCCACTGTTAGTGGATGGGGGAGGGAGAACATCTGAATAGTGGTAATTTTCAAAAGCAGCTCTGGTTTGTAAATGAGTCGTATGACAAGCCCAGGGCACACAACCATGTGAGCACACAGGCATGCATCTGATTGCTTTGTTTGTTTTTAAATGGCCCCTTAAAACACTGTTTGCGCTCTGGTTAGTGAAATTCTCTCTCCTTCTATGGATGGTAGTAAGTATATGGTGTGTGAGACACAGGTCAACTTCAGGTAAACTGGGATCCAAGATTGGAAAATGTTCCAAGAAAATCATCCTTCCATCCAGCATACCTTTATAGAATTAAATGTCTACTCAGTAACCATCCAACAATAAAGGAAAGGTAATTAACTGTTCACTCTCTTTGTTAGCTGGAAGGAGAACTGATAAAATGAGATACGCAAATATCTCTGGTAGATTCCAGCACCAAAAGGTATAAAAGAACATACACACAGATACAATTTTTATAGAAGTATCTTTCTAAAAACCTGTTTACAAATTGTTTGTTTTAGTCGACTACCACTAAACCCTTCTCTATATGACAGAACTGGGAGAAAAGAGAACAGACTATCTCTTACCTGGCAGCTCCCAGTTACATCTGAAAGGATTATCCAGTACCACACCAAGTCCACAGCAGCCAAGAATCAATCACATTTGATTGTTCCTGGGTTCAGACACGTGAAAAAGTTCTATGACTTAAATTCATTAACTATCCAACTAAATGTGGGGCCCTGGTTGCGCACTGGTTAAGCGTTTGGCTGCTAATCAAAAGGTCGGCAATTCGATTCCACCAGTCACTCCTTGGAAACCCTACAGGGCAGTTCCACTGTGTCCTACAGCATCACTATGGGTCAGAATTGACTCCACAGCAACGGGTTTTTTAACGTGTTATTCAGCTAAATGTAGGTGAACAGAACTATACAGGACAGAACAAAATTAACGTTACAGGATCTGGCCAAAGGGAACAAATAGCACATTCTTTATAAAATTAATCAGTCTTGCCTCCCAAAGATCGATCAGTCCTGGAATAAAAGCCCAATAGAAAAGTTTAAAAATTAACATTAAAAAATAAAATAAAATGGAAACTGAGGACTCAAGATATCTGCTCAAGAAAACACTATAACACTTTTCAGACAAACACGTTCTCTCTAGTTTTGTTACGGAATCAATTAACTTCTGGGAATCCAAAGTCAAAGTGTATGTACATAATAGCCCTGAAGTCCTATACCTGCTCTTTCTGTCCTTTCTCTCTAAAGACAACATATAGAATTTTTACTAGACAAAGTCCGCAGAGAACTTTGTAACTTCTCCATCCTCCAGAAAATTTACCAGGTCACATCACTTGCTGAATATTCCAATGAGAGTCTATTGCTCAGCTTGTACCTACAGAGAATGTGATAAGAAAGAGAATGACATACTAAACCATTCACCTGGGTGGATGAGAAGGGCAGGGCACTGATGGGGAAAAGCCTGTGACTAAGTGATGTAGGATGGCAAAGGAGACCAATCTCATTTCCCTCACCACACTCACTTATGAATAACCTCGGGAATCTGGTGTTTCCATGAATGATACCAAGAACCGAGAGGAAAACACAGGATATCCCTGTGGCAATCCTCCTCCCCCATCCCCAAAAGCACAACATGACAAATAATGAAGGTGGTAGCCATCTGACTCAAACTGTAAAGCCAAATAAGACAAATCATTATTTTCTCTAGGATCTAAACTGAACTATTAGAAGTTCCACGTCAATACCCAAAAATTAGTTGCCTTGTCAAGCATCCATCTATAGGACACAGTACGAGAGCCTTCAATATTACAGCCTGAAATAGTTCATATCATTACTTGATTTTAGAATCCATCCATTCTCTCCCTCTGTTAAGGAATTAGTAGCGCACAGAGAGATACACGTACAAATAGAAGGACCTCCTGTGGAGGTCCCTACAGCATAGAAACCTAAAGAAGGACTTATTGAGATGGAAAAAATATCTGGCAGGCAAGCCCCAACCAAATCAACTAAAAAGATGGAATATAATCTAACTATAAACTGGTAATTATGAGATGAAAAAGGGACCAGTAATCAAAATGCTCAGAAGAAAAACAGTATACAAGCAGTCCTCCCTTATCCATGGAGGGTATGTTCCAAGACCCCACCCACCCCCGTGGGTGCCTGAAACCTCGGAGAGTACCAAACCCTATAAATACTATGATCTGTCCTATACATACACACCTATGATGAAGTTTAATTTATAAATTAGGCACAGCAAGATATTAACAACAGTAACTAATAACAAAATAGAACAATCGTAACCACATATTGTAGTAAAA